ATTGAGTGACAGTGAGACCCTTTATCTTAAAGAAAAAAAAAAAAGCATGGATGGTCAGAAATGTCCCAGAATGTGAAAATAACTGTTTCTAGGTGGTGGTTTTATGAGAGATTGTTTTCTTCTTTTTATTTGTTCTATTTTTCAAAATTTGAGTGCAAAAGTATTCTGGGTATGTGAAAGCAAGTATGATCTTTGTAGCTTCATTCTGGGCTTAACCTAAGGCTTTCCAGACCCTAGAGGGGCACCTCAGACTCCAAAAGAGTATGCAAAAGTATGCAAAAGTGTGTGTGTGTGTGTGTGTGTAGTTTTTGTTTTTTAAAAAACATTGGTTTCTGTGCTTACTGTTCAGATAAAAATTTCGATGATGAAGATTCTGTGGATGGTAACAGACCTTCCTCTGCTAGTTCTACGTCATCCAAGGCTCCACCAAGTTCTCGGAGAAACGTTGGAATGGGAACCACCCGCCGGCTTGGTTCATCCACCCTGGGATCCAAGTCTTCAGGTTAGTCTAAGCTCTGTGTGGCGTTCTAGGGTCAGCTATGCCAGCTTTTCAAGCCAGAGATGCAAGTACTTGCCTGTGGTGGCCCTCAGAAGTGATACAGTCCCCGTATGCAGCAGGTTTCTGCCTGCTATTCTTTAATTGAATTAGCATTGCAGTACTGATGCTGATTAGCTGGTAAGTTGTAAATTTGAGCTACTGTGTTGACTTTTGCCACATTCTGCTAAGGCAGAGCCTATAGAAGAAGGAAACTAGCACAGAGGAAAGCATAGCTCCGAGATAAAAGCAAGAGTGCACCCTCATCGCATTGTTTAGTTATCTGGATCCAGTAATGCCTGAAACCACTAGGGGTGTTTTAGACAATTTCTGTTTAACAAGACTGAGAATAATCCAGAAGTCACACTGTAACTCCTGTCTTTAAAATACATCTTGTGGACTGGCCCCTAGGTATTGGGGCGTGTGTGCATGCTCCGCATGCAGGTCGGGCTGTGGGTGGTGGAGACAGCCACCTCTGCTCCAGTTCCCGGTGAGCCATGGTGAGGTGGCAGCTGTTGGTGTGTCTGTTGGATGGTAGCGTGAAGTGGAGCTGGGCCAGCGGGAGGTAGCTCTGTGGGAGTGGAAGGCCCGTATTTCTCTACCTGGACTGCGGGCTCTTCATGCAGGGAGGGCAGAGCTCAAGACCTCAAAGACAATCTGTAGAAAGCTGGGTAGCAGCAGCTCCACAGAAGAGTGACCAGACTGTTAAAAGAAAAACAAACAGAAAACAGCAACCACAAAAAACCCCATCCAATGGACCACAACCTCAAAGATCAAAGGTAGATAAGCCCACAAAGATGAGAAAGAATCAACACAAAAGCGCTGAAACATCTTTTCCTTCAGGTAACTGCAACCCCTCTCTAGCAAGGGCTCAGAACTAGGCTGAGACTGAGATGGCTGAAATGACAGAAGTAGGCCTCAGAATGTGGATAATAATGAACTTCACTGAGCTAAAGGAGCACGGGGTTGGGGTTAGGGTTAGGGTATTCACATAGGAAGAGAGGAAGTCAAACTATCTTTATTTGCAGATGACATGATCCTGTATCTAGAAAACCCCATTGTCTCAGCCCAAATCTTCTTAAGCTGATAAGCAACTTCAGCAAAGTGTCAGGATACAAAATCAATGTGCAAATATCGCTAGCATTCCTATACATCAACACCAGGCAAGCAGAGAGCCAAATCGTGAATGAATTCCCATTCACAATTGCCACGAAAAGAATAAAATACCTAGGAATACAGCTAACAAGGGAAGTGAAGGACTTCCTCACGGAGCACTACAAAACACTGCTCAGAGAAATCAGAGACGATACAAACAAATGGAAAAACAGTCCGTGCTCATGGATAGGAAGAATTAATATTATGAAAATGGCCATACTGCCCAAAGCAATTTATAGATTCAAGCTATTCCCATTAAACTAACATTGACATTCTTCACAGAATTAGAAGAAACTATCTTAAAATCCATATGGAACCAAATAAGAGCTCATATAGCCAAGACAATCCTAAGCAAAAAGAACAAAGCTGGAGGCATCACGCTATCCAACTTTATACTATAAGGCTACCCCTAACCAAAACAGCGTGGTACTGGTACAAGAACAGACACACAGACCAATGGAATAGAATAGAGAACCCAGAAATAAAGACCCCACGACTACAACCATCTGATCTTCAACAAACCTGATAAAAACAAGCAATGGGGAAAGAATTCCCTGTTTAATAAATGGTGCTGGGAGAACTGGGTAGCCGTATGCAGAAAATTGAAACTGGACCTTCTCCTTACACACTATACAAAAATCAACTCAAGATGGATGAAAGAGTTAAAATTTAACTCAAACTGTAAAACCCTAGAAGAAGATCTAGGCAATACCATTTAGGACATAGGCATGAGCAAAGATTTCATGACAAAGACGCCAAAAGCAATTGCAATGAAAGCAAAATTTGACAAATGGACCTAATTTAACTAAAGAGCTTCTGCACAGCAAAATAAACTATCAGAGCAAACACACAACCTACAGAATGGGAGAAAATTTTTGCAATCTATCCATCTGACAAAGGCCTAACATTCAGAATCTACAAGGAACTTAAATTTACAAGAAAAAACAACCCCGTTAAAAAGTGGGCAAAGAAAAAGTAGGAAAAGAAGACGAACATGCGGCCAGCAAACGCATGAAAAAAAGCTCGACATCACTGATTATTAGAGAAATGCAAATCACAGTGAGATACCATCTCACACCAGTCAGAATGGCTATTATTAAAAAGTCAGAAAAACAGTAGATGCTGGCGAGGTTGTGGAGAAAAAGGAGTGCTTTTACCCTGTTGCTGGGAGTGTAAATTAGTTCAACCACTGTGGAAGAGACTGTGTCAGTTCCTCAAAGACCTAGAGGCAGAAATGCCATTTGACCCAGTAGTCCCATTACTGGGTATATATCCAAAGGAATGTAAATCATTCTGTTACAAAGATACATGTGTGCATATGTTCATCCCAGCACTATTCACAATAGCAAAGACCTGGAGTCAACCTAAATGCCCATTAAGACTGGGTAAAGAAAATGTTGTACATATATACCATGGAATACTATGCATTCATAAAAAGGAACAAGATCATGTCCTTTGCTGGGACATGGATGGAGGTGGAAGCTGTTATCCTCAGCAGTTTAACGCAGGAACAGAAAACCAAATACTGCATGTTGTCACTTATAAGTGGGAGCTGAATGATGAGAACACATGGACACATGGGTGGGGAAAACACACACTGGGACCTGTTGCAGGGTTTGGGGTAGGAGGAGGGAGAACATCAGGAAGAATAGCTAATGTGCTGGTCTTAATACCTAGTGATGGGGTGATCTGTGCAGCAAACCACCATGGCACACGTTTACCTATGTAACAAACCTGCACATCCTACACATGTACCCCTGAACTTAAAAGCTGGGAATAAAAATAAATAAGATAAAATACATTTTGTTCTTATAAGTAACGTGGTTCCTTGTGAGACCAGTAAGGATGTTGCATTAAATAAGTTGTAGGAGATTTCTTCCATAAATTCTTCCTTTCACTCCTAATGTAGACAGTTTAGTTGTTATATACAACTCTCATTTTCTGTCAAGTTTCACATTTACATGCAAATTCCTTCCGAAATTTACCTCAGAAAAATTGTGTAGCTGCTGCTTTTAGAACCATTTTCACTGATGGCTTTAGCTTTTGCGCTCTTGGTGGTGGTGGGGATAGTGGTGGATGGGGAATCCCATGAGCCAAAAAAGATGAAGCCGAAAGGACCAAATGAAAGCTATACTCATGATTAGCATTAAAATGCTGTCTCCTGATGGCCTCTCCTGAATTCTGAACTGGCCCTAGAATATTGGTATCTTGACCCAGACCAGCATGGGACCACTCTGCCTCCTGACCCCAGCATCTGTGATAGAGGAGCTGTAGGAATGTTAATTGTACTTATTTCCAGTTCTTTCTAATCATTTTTTTGGTGTATTTTAAAACATTTTACTTTTTGTTACTGATTTTAAATTCACATAACATAAAATTAGCCATTTTAAAGGGAATGTTTTCAGTGTTTCATCTACCTTGTAGCATATATCAATACTTTGTTCCTTTTAATGCCTGAACAATCTTTCTTTTTTCTTGGTCTATTCTTGGGTAATTTTCCGTTGCACAAACAAGGCTTAGAAAATTATTAGACTGGTGCTTTCCTTCCCATCCCGCGTCCATACCCTTTCCAGAGGTCCCTGCTGTGTAGATTATGCACATATCAGCTCGGTTTTCCCTTCAGCCCTGCACTTATCCTTTTTTCCATGTTGTTTAAAACCATAGTCATGAATTTCCTGGTTTGCTCCTCCTCATCAGATACCCTAGGCTCAGGGACTGTTGTTGGCCTCTGAGTCCTCTTTGGTATGTGTGGGTACATGGTGGAGGGCCTCATGCAAAGGAGGCATTCAGGGCCTATCTGCTCAATGGGATCCAGTTTTTATGCTAAAACAGACACAGAGCACCACATCACAGTGAGTAACTATTGGCCTTTAGAGTAGTTAGCTTTTCCGCGGTGTGAGTGATCTTCAGCAAGAGTGATGACACACATTTACTGCTACCTGGGATTGTCTTTAAAGCTCCTTTCTGTCTGGATAATTATCAGGACCCCGAACACCAGATACATGTGTGGTAAGAAAGTCTTAGAAAAGCAATCAGACTAATCCATGTAAATCATTAATGGGGGTTATGAAGATGACTATGGACACCAGTTTTTAAAATGTGAAAAAGTCTGATAAAGCATCACTTGATTTTCATGCATAAAAGGGAGCTCAGATTAGCAAAAAGAAATACTTTCTTCACATACTTTTAAGTATACAAAGCATCTTAGGATAACTTTGTAGGAGAAACTTGTAACTGATTCTTAAATGAAAAAAATGACAGTTATCATGAGTTCAAGGAAATAGAAATGTTTTCAAACTAATATAAAGTTAAATAAAACTGAAATTATTTAGGACTGGTTTGAATAGTCACAAATTTGTAATGCTGAATTCCTAGTAATTACAGTTTAAGTTATTCCCTGAAGAATTAAATTTTCTGCTTGATCCATTTATTAGGAATCTTTCAAAAGACTTGTATATTAATACAATATCTAAACCCTTTAAAACCATACCCTCCCTTCTTAAACAGGTAGTCTAAGTGACCTTAAGCTAATGTATATAGCATTCTAGAATTACTATATTCCATCTGGATATGAAGTCAGTAATGTTTGTCAATTTCATGACACTCCAAAGTTACATGAAGCCTTTCTAAAAAATAGTTCTGAATCTTCCGAAACAGAATTTTGATTGTGTATGTTTAGACTTCTTCAGTGTATGTGTTGTAGACATTGTTTCATAGTTTTTGAAATTCTTTTTTACAGCTGCAAAAGAAGGAGCTGGTGCTGTGGATGAAGAGGATTTTATTAAAGCATTTGATGATGTACCTGTAGTACAGGTCAGTGAGGATGTTTGAGTATGATTACAAACAAGGGTAGACTTTCTTCACATTGTATTTTTCAAGTATGCCTGTGTAATGTTCTTTACTAGGTCAGGTAATTTTAACTGTCAACACTACAGGAGATCTGAGGTGCAGACTAGAAAATGTTGGAGCAAAAGTCAAGGCCCAAGATGATCTTTCAGTAAGAACAGGAAAGACATTGGTTGCTCTATTATTAAGTTTATGGATCAGGTCACATAAAAGAGAAAGAAATAGGTGATGCTCAATTAGAAAATAAAAAAGGCATATTTATTTAGGGATTTTTTTTTTTAGAAAAATTCATAAATTTGAAGGATTTTGGTGTCTGAAAAGTTACAGAGAATGATTTAATAAGAGCTTAGTTTATACCTTGTTTGATGCTTCACTTTAAATACCTAACAGATGAAACAAAGATTATTTATAAAAATTGGGATACAGCCACAAGTTTTTGACTGCTTTGTGCCTTAGTATCATCTATTGCTGGTTGAGACTAATACTTTTCCTCAGCCTACACCGGCTGTCTGTGCTCTGGATTCCTGTGGCACTTACTAGTCTGTTATGTACAACTCTCTTTGCCACCTTTGTTGCCGTATGTGTATAAAGCAGGTAACAAGAATCTCAGTGGCCTGGGCAACATGACAGAACCTCATCTGTACAAAAGATACAAAAATCATCTGTGGTGGCAGATGCCTGTAGTTCTAGCTGCTCAGGAGAGTGAGCTGGGAGGCTCCCTTGAACCCGGGAGGTGAAGTTTGTTGTGAGCTGAGATTGCGCCACTGCACTCCATCCTGGGCGACGGAGTGAGACCCAGTCTCTTAAAAAAAACAAACAAAAAAACAATCTTGGGTTCAGGTTCATCCTTAAGTACTTGACCTGACCTTCCCAGCATACATCCAGATTGATTATACCCTATACCCTACCTGTTTTCTAAGTAAGATGTGGAGATAAATGAGAGTGTACATTTGAAAGTCTTTAAAATTATAGGTATAGTGTCATGTTATAAATAATACTAAGAGTAAGAAATGACTTAGGCATCACTGACTGTTTCCCGTTAGGCTTGTTTCTCTTTGTACATGAAATCACCTGTTAAGTTGATAGTAAAGCTACGTTTGAGGCAGGGTTGTTCACATATGGCAGCAAATCTTGTGGGTGCACATTTATAGTGAGAAAGATCCTCATTATAGACAAAACTGCAGATATTTTCTCATAGGTGTTTCTTAAAAATTAAATAATTTCTTTTACTAAATGGTCTTGACTTCATGTAATTAAGAAGTAATCTGTTTATTCTGCATGTTTTTATATTGATTGTAAATTAATTTTGCTTACAGATTTATTCCAGCCGAGACCTTGAGGAATCCATAAACAAAATTAGGGAAATACTATCTGATGACAAGCATGATTGGGAACAGAGAGTAAATGCTGTAAGCTGTTGACCTCATGTGATTACATTTTCATAAGATGTATTTAAATATCTCATACTTTATTATGAAATCAGGGCACAACTCTAATGAATTTTAAATAGTATATATTTTAAATACAAATTATCGTATTTACACTTCACCCTTTTAGTAGAGTATCTCCTTTTATTTTTATTTTGGAAACACACCAACTTAAACCTTTATGAATCATCCAGTCTTTTAACAAAGACCTAACTGTGGAGTGTATGGTGACAGCCTCCACTCTCACCTTAGGAGAAATTTCATTCTGTGATTGTTTGCCTTTCAAGTGGCTTTTTTGTGGCAGTTTTAGTATATGTCCCCCAATATTCTTTTCTTTCTTCATATCACTTGCTAGAAAGTTGTGTCTCCTTTATTTTTAAAAGTAGATTAATGGAAAGTGGGCTGGGCGTTAAAGCGAGGGTGTGTCTGATCTGAGAAGGCTATTTTCTACTGGTTGGCTGGCAAGAAGGGAGGTGGTACCATTGCCATT